AGTGTTTAAATTGTGGAATGGAAGTGCACTATTTCTTATATGTGCTGTTTTATTTTTAAAAATATATGTGACAAATAAATCAGTATTCGTGAATAAGATTTTTAATTTTTTACTTATAGATTGGATAAATATGGATACGACATATACTTATGGAATCAACAAATGACAAATAACGCTACATGGTATAGCACATCAATTATCAGGCTAAAAAATATTGAGAGAACGATAGAATAATAACAATAAAACGATATGATGCTGTCGCGAAAAGGTCGTTTGCAAGCACAACGTAATACGAGTGCGGCTCAGTAATAAAATATTTATCAATTATTAATGTTATTTCGTCGCACTTAAGACGGACACGCCACGTTTGTAAACCAGTAAATAAATATATATATAAMGAGTATATTATAACAGTCATTAAAATATATTATTCAATACAAATATTACCTATCATCGAACAAACATAATACTGTGGACTGTGGTGTCGTAAATCATATACACACAAGCAAACACACGATGCTCACAAACATTTTTTTTTTTTTATATTCAAATTCTGTTTTTGAAATTTGTAAGTATGTCTTAAGGGCCATATCTTAAATTATTTAAATTATTATACAATTTGAGTCATTTAAGGAGCCACATGTTGCGATACTAATTTATTTTTTTCAAGAAAAATCACTCTTTTTTCCGAGATGAACTTTGTGTACTAAGGATAATAATATCTAAGTCCATGATAATACGTTTGGAAGATGATTTGAAAATAAAACTTTCTCCCCGATATTTCCACAGGCTAATGTCCCTTGTTGTCGAAGCCTCAACCCCCAATAAAAAAAAAAAAAATAAAATCAATTAGGTAACATTAATCTATCAATTTAATATAATATGTAAAAGTTGTAAGGGAATAAATAATAGATTCAATATTAAGTCTGTAAGTATTTTATTGGTTATTACTATTATTAGTTATTATTCATAGTACATACATTTTAATAATTCTGAATTTTCTTGTTTGAATTTTCATTTAGAAACATATGCTACAATTTATAGAAAAATGGTTGATTCTTATTTGGAATAAAGAAGTTTGTATAGTCACAGAACACTTATAGATGGTAGTAACAAACCTAAATAATTAAAAATATAATTCTTAAGAAACWACATACATAGATGTAYTTAAAAATTTAAAAAATAAGAATTATTAATCAATTATAAGAACATAAAAACGGGGAGCTCTTTGAGTGCTTTAAAATCAATCTTAAATCCATACTCTAAGAATGAATTTGTGCAGCACATCCAATAACTGGTATCTACTTCCAATAAAACATTCACTTTCATATTATAGGTCCCTTCACATGTCAGTATTTTTGGCAACGAAAGAGCAGCTAAATTCGCAAATGAAGCTACACTTCCTCACAATGCCTTAAAACTATTCCTAACCACATCCTCGACACCATTAACATTCAAATTCTTGATACGTGGCAAACAAAATGGACCGAGGTTCCTCTATCAAACAAATTAAGAAAAATTAAGCCTTCCATAAAAAAAATGGAATTTTTCCGTCGGTCTTAAAAGAAGAGACGAGATCATTTTAACCCGAGCCAGAATAGGACACACTCGCCTAACCCACTCCTTCCTCATCACCAAGGAACCTGCTCCAGTATGCAACGTGAAATTATATATCGACYACATCATCACGAGATGCCTAAAATATACCAAAGCTCGAACAATTTTTAAAAATGCAACTTYTCTCCGACTTGCTCTCAGTAAAGATAATCCTGAAGTGATTTATAAATTTTTCTATTATATTCACTTATCCCATAAACTGTAAATATATGTAAATTTCGTTTTGTTCATGTTGTTAAAATTGTAGGCTAATAACCTAAGATGTTGAAGCCTTATCATAATATTTAAAAAAAAAAAAAACGGGGAGCATAATTGCAGGGCTATCCACATTGTTTTTATTACCTATATTTATTTATAGTATTTTTTATATATTGTAGAATAATATCATATAATGCTATTAGTTTTATAGCCGTAAGTTATATTTTTACATTGCGGGCGCGAAAAAATTTCTAGCGAACGTGTAGGTATATATAACTAATAACTATTACAGTGTAAGGCGTAGGAGACATGTTCCGGAAAACAACAATAATATTATATCGTGTCAAAGTCGTATTAGAAATATGTGGTGGTCAAGAAACGTATCCGTCGTCAATAAATATTAATAATAACGATGATTTATTATATTACGAGTTATTTCAGTAATAATAAGACGACGACCCCGGTCCCCGTGGAGAGAGTGGGGTCACGGAGACGAACGGACGCGCGTATTTGTTAAATCATAAGAATATGTGAGACACTTACCTAGTGTGCTGCTGCAGCCGACAGTCGTATGCAATAATAATAATAATAATAGTACACAGTATTTGGTATACCGGTTATTAAACATTAGCGCAATAAGGATAGTATCGTATGGAAGTTGTAACGTACAGCAATATTTACAGGACACGTGTTTAATTTGTGTATCGGTTTCTTCGGAGTTCTTTCATATTTTCCCATGGTTGAAATATACAAGGTTATTGCATATTGATAAGGATTGTTATGATCAGATACAAAACGGCTGCGTAAAGGGATATCACAAATTACAAAACATATTAATTTTTCTTATCATGAAAAATTCGTTGGTTGATACGGCTGGCATAAAAGTTCCCGTGCATATATATACATATATGCATATATGTACTTAATTATTATTGGCTCTCTTWACGCTCCAATTTTTGTTTTTATCATCAAATATTTGATTGACAGAGGGTATATATGCAATAACCTTGTACATTTCAAACATGTATTTTCCATAACGACAGGTCTACACGACCATTATATCATAATATAGGTAATAATATATTATTYGGTATGCAACAGCCAATAGTGATTTAATTCGTATTAATAATTTATCGTATGGTTATGAAGCTACTATACCGACGACGACACTATTTTATTTAGATTAATAATAACGATGATTTTTAATAAGTGTGAACAGAAAAAAACTTAAAATACACAATATTTAAAAAATGAAAAGCTTGAGATGTATAATTAAATTAGTAAAATAGTAACATACAATTTGGATTTTTACAATTATAAGATAGATATATCATGTTTTTYTCCGCCTATATTCGCATTGTAGTTAGTACGAAATACGTTCAAATATTTTATATAATATCAAATTACTATACATCATAGTGTTGTGAGCATACTGCAGCTAGATAGTTAAATTAATACTTTTTGTTTAAAAGCATAAACAAATTAATAATATTAATTAATAATAATAATAATAATAATAATAATAATAAAAAAAAAAATAAATAAAAATAAACAACATCCTTGAAGTGAACACTTCGTGCTACCTACAAATAATAATAATCGTATACTTACGATACATGCAAAAAATAATTAATGTTATTTAAATTTAATGAGAGGAATGATATAAATATAAATATTATGTTGCCACTGACTCGACGATTGATGTGCTGTTGGATAGAAAATGGCTGTCGGTGCGGTCTTGGATATTACCTATTATATCCATCATGTTATTTGTTGTTATATGATTATCTTTGGACGCATGGCCTAATGCCCGATATTGAGATGTTCCTCATCTCTTGCTCCATAAAAACACCTGTGTACACCGGTGGCATCATTTGGGATTCTTGGAAAGGCTGTAACAAGAGTAAAACACATTGTTAAATCGTTTATAAATATTATGTTGGCCATTATGTAATTCCTAAAATTCAATAATATCATATCGTCATCAAAAACGTACACAGATCGTCAGTCAGTAAAGGCAAAACTATAGCCAGAGGCTCCAATACTCCAACACCCTCTCACCAATTTTTCAATGTAATCCAAGATTTAAATATGCGGAAAATCTTGTAAGAAAAAATTGTCCCCCGTGCGGTTGCTTATTATTGTTGCTTTTAAGAATAAGCGACACAGCCATCTAAGGATTTTGAGATTGTTCCAAAGAATAACTTAGAATTGAATATAATGCATTATACATTTATACCAGTAGTCCACCAAGGGCTATAATATTTCAATATAAAATAGTTGAGAGTGAGAGATAATATGTTTCCGGTGACTATCCTGACTTGACATAAGTTATAAGCTATAGTGGTTTACACGATGCTAGGAATTTCAAGCCAGTCTATTTGTAATATGGCAGGACAAACTCTAAGAATGGCTCAAAAAATATAAAACCCTATATATGGTCTTTGAGCCTATTGAACTATATCCTGACTTAAGATGTGATAGCGGCTTATTAATTTTTTCACTATGGACCGGATATAATTACGCCGAAGACTGAAGAGTGGCAAAATAAACACGTATGTACAACGAGAGATAAACATTATATACAAACATTATGATAATTTATATTATATTATTATATGCACGCATACCGTGTTCAAGGCCACTGCATTACGGGTCGGTAAAAATTTCGGTTAAACGGGTATTTTTTTTTTTGCTATAGGTACGCAGTATTTTATTTTTTCATTTCGCGAATTTTTTTTTAATAAATAATCCCGCGGCATGGACTAAACATTACTGCACAGTGGTCGGCGTCCGGGAGTCGGTCCGGTGCGGTTCATCTATATTATATTACAAGAAAAGAACTATTTATTCCTTAAACGTTTCCAACTCGTATACACTGCATATCATGTATATAAGTATCCAGTTATACAGTGAGCTCTGGTGCACACAAAGAAAATGTCGAACCAAATATTTCTTTTATTGTCCTTGTTCTAAAGACGACTTTTTTTTAACCAGTTCGAAAAAATATATACGCTCCATGAATAAAACAACACCAGATCTCGCCAAAAAATTTGAAATCCTGATACTAAAATTAAATTATACTCATTCACATAGTAKGTACTTATATAAAGTTATATCGAGTTCTTGTGCGTTCAAAATATATAATAATATATATTTTACATTATACGCGTACAAAAATAAACGATAATAAACATCACAAAGGCAACTAGTGAAATAATATTATCGTGTAGGTAATATTGTGTAGGATAAACCGAGCCATATCAAATAATATCTAATCCGCATCTCCGTAAATAATGGTGGACGCAAATTTCCATCGAATCCGCAGCATTAAAAATGATTTCTTTTTAATCACGCAATTCCTGCACAAKGAATTTCTCTCGAATTGCGAATTGATTAAATATACAATATGCAAATAACTTATGTATATTTGCGAGTATCGAAATAAAACGGTTTCATCACCGTCGCAAATGTTTCTACAACGCACAAAATATAAAACGCGACGAGCGTAAATCAAATTGTGTAAAAACAGCGAGGAGGAGACTAGAAATGCCGTATGTATCTACGATAGTCCACTATACACGGTGTAGTATATAATAAAAATATACTACTTCTGCGATATAGCGTGTGTGAATAGTATAATATGTTTTTTTGTTTGTGTAAGGTCGGAGTCGTTTGTCATTGAAAACGTGAAATTCCGGAACTTATTCAGTCATTCTGTGACCAATAAAGACGTATGGATACCAGATGAAATTTTTACCTAAAAATCCACTTCGCGATCGCATATTTAAATATTTTATTTTAATAGAGAACACTGCACTGCAATACTACATGAGGCGTACAGTTCAGTGAGATCATTTTATCGTCATTTAATATACCAATACATTATTGTGATGATGTATGGGTAGTATAAATAGCAAACCACAACAACGGTACACAGTTTATTAAAAAAAATGAAATTAATATGCGTGGATTATTCTATATTGTATGTAGGAATCTTTTTCATGTCATCTYTTTAGAATATTATAAATATAGTTCAGTTACTATTGATTATTAATATCTACCAATTAGTATTATCAATGAGATAAAAAACGTTTGTTTGATTAACATGCGATACGATCTCTCGATAATAATATACTTTTATATAATAGGTAAGGCTTTTGGCGGTATAATACAACAATGTACTACTTTTTATAGATCATTTAATATTTTAACTAGCTATTAATTATTACGTGTGATTACGCACCATTCTATCCATTATGCTATATTAATACAATGTCGGTGTGTTGAGTGTTATGTATCTGAAAATTATGATGGCCTATGKGTATAAATTAAAAAGTCGCAGTCTAACGCCGGTTACGCCACACCCGTGAGCATGCAAATATGCCTAAATTTATAATAAGTATAGATGCTATACCTACCACTTATCAGTTATCTTGTTGGAACATTTAATTGTGATTGATTGACAGAATAGGCGTTTTGTTTTTCACGATCCTTTAATACATAGATAATCATGCCCACGGGTAATTTTGGCTGACAGCATTTACAATGTATGAGCTATAATTTAACCTATACCTACAYAATATTATGCATCATATCTGCATATATTTTGGATTTTCGAGATTAGAAATAGAAATGGATATTATTTTGTCAGCATGCAACGTTATTGGACCGCTTAGTACAAAGTATTGAATAATAAGAATAAAATTATTTTTTTTTTTCAATTATTCAGATTGGAATTTCACATCAATTCATTATCTACAAAATTGTAAGCGTAAAGGCAAGATTGTACTATCACAATGATCTGTAGTGAGGTAATTTAGTTATGTTAGTAGTGAGGGGGGAATTGAAACATTTATACTCCCCCCCTGAACATTTTTTGATTATTATTACAGTCACTTCTCAGTACAACCATTGTGATCTGTATAATGCACCTAACTATGTTAGTAAATGTAATTACATACTTTGAAGAAAATTATTTTTATTCGTGGAAAATCTGMATTGGCGTGAAATACTCAAAATAACTTCAAAAAGTTTATAATTTTGAAACTAAGTTCAAAAAACAAATTCTGAGTGCATCATTATCTTTAACTCGGTAAAATGAACAGGTTTCCGTAAATTAATTTTCAAAAATTGCTTAAGAACTAAACTGCATTGTTATACCGTATTTCTGTACTAATATACATTAGTGCAATTAATGTAATACTTCAGGATAATAGTAATTAGTGTTTTTTTTGCAAGAAATATTATCTTAATTATGTACAGCTAGCATAAGGAAGTAGGGGTTTTATGTATTATTTCTATGAAATATACCWACTCTAGTGCCTCATATCAAAAAATAAAAATGTTTAGTAAGTACTTAAATATGGTTTGCGAGTTGAAAAAAAATCTAAGTGAAGTCTAGACACCCAAATCTCCCCCCTTCTATTACACTGATAGTGATGCATTCTGTTCGATTAATAAACTATATGCTTATACATTGACTACGTACGTAAATATAATGTTTCTTAAACATTTTGCAACACTTTGTACAATACTATGTTACATTATTTTTTTAGCGGAGGAAAATAAATAATTATTTTATATCACTATAATCTCTATTGATGTCTGACATATTAAAATTGTCAACGACAACTGTTATACAAAAAGCATAACTGCACTTCTACATATGATATAGGTCAATGAAAATAAACTCTATTGCAATTTACTAGACTTATAGGTATTTGATATTTTTTATAATAATATTATATCATTTCACTGTTCACAATGTCTTATCTCACAAGTAGGTATTTTCGATTCATTTATTTTGTATTTGTTACATGCTGTTCATATTACACGATATGATATTATTTATGTCACGTGACAAAAAAGGATGGCATATATTATGTACATAGRTACTTATAACGGAATGYAAACAATAGTGGCAGCTATCCTTAAAAATATAGGTATAGCGAAACATAAGAAATAAAAACCCACCCACAACAAATTTTTAACTATTAACATAGGTAGTTACCATTATCCTCTTAAAATATTTCAAAGTATAATTCTATATTATTCGCATACAAAAATTTACATAGTCAACTCACCCCACCCACCCCTCTTTTTAAAAGTGTGGCAAGCGCTACACCTCTACTTTAGGATAGCCGCCACTGGCAAACATTAAGGTCACAAGAGATAACAATAATATTATACTGTTTAAAAGGATGCCTGAGTACTATATTTGATTTTATTCATCGATCCATACACACACATATCGAATTTTCCTTAAGCAGAATCAAATTTGTGTTGTTAAAGCTTTAGTATTGTAGAGTATATTACCTAATGTAAAATTCGAAGTTTAGCACATTATCTGTGTTCTTAAGTTGGCTTTTGTATTTAAATTTTAAATCATAAACAAAGATATATAATGAGTACCTATTTTTAAAACAGAACATATAAGACACGTCTTGTAACTTGCAAAAAAAATGTTAACATCGTGAAAATACAACGTAGGCAAGAAAATCGCAGATAATGTTCTTAACTTTAAGTTTGAAAATAGGTCAATTCACTGTTATCAGTACTAAAGCTTATGACACAACATTATACACAAGTTTGGTTCTGCTGGATGCTAAATTGTCATGTTGAGCGTTGATAGAGAGAGAGAGAGAGAGAGAGAGAAATAGAAAGAGATAGAAAATAATATGTAGTTCACTGATGTACTCTAATACATAGCGAGTAGGCAATGATGATGGCGTATACGACAAAGCGAACGACACGAAAACCCTATAACTGATCTCAGCGGTTTGACATTACACGCTTTACGGTTGTTAGTCGATTCGATCGCTCTGTATCATCGAGTGTATATCACGTGCACCGCGCGATGTATATATTGTATATGCCATCTAAATATACGAATTCAATCCCCGTGTAGGCGCGACATATGGTCGAGGCATTATGCGTATTGTGAAAAGGAATAAAGGACAAAGCAATAATATAATTAGAAATATAACTGAAAAAAAAAACTCGATTTGCATTGAGTTATAACGCGCAAAAAATAACCCCAATAAAAAACGATAAAAACGTCAACGAGAATAGCACGCAATAATACGAATTACGATTTATCTATCGCGTAACATTGCTGCAGAAAACACGTTTTCGGTGTGCTAATACAAAATWTATTATTTTTGTTTCTTTGTTTAATTGTTGAAAGTATGTTTAATATTATAATATACAGCTGGGACTTAAAGCATAAAGATACGCGACGACGATGATGAATAAAAAATATGATTCTGTTTCTGTTTTTGGGCACATACCCATATATAATGATCAGGATCTATCTAATCTCGGTAACTGCAGCTCAGCAGCGACAGTGCGTGCCGACAAATGCGTATTTGTCCCACCGACGCGACGTCGTGTAATAACATTGTACTATGGTTGCGTGTGCGATTAAAATATGTACGTCCATTGTACGCGGTGATGCGAAAAATGTTGTCGTGAGAGTATCTAACTAACTATTATAATATATATTATGTATAAACATAATATATTATATAAAAATATTATGTATACATCGGGTGATTCTTTAACGAAGACACTCCGTAATCGTTACAAACCAACGTTTTTGAAAAAACTTATTTTTACCAATTCGTCAAATCGATATCTTTTTCAAATGTTTACGTTTTTTGAATTACAATCGCTGTTAATTTCTTATTCCGAAGAAGGATATTAATTATTTGAGTATTTCAATGGGTACATATTGATTTTCGAAAGAGTATAGTTATTTAAAAATATAGTTTAAATACTTTTTTGTAATACCACTAATACCTATAGGCATATGTTCTATCGTTGTTAAGAAATGCTCAAAGAGTGCTGAGGAGTGGCACAGGGCTCAATACTTGTATAACCAATCGACTGACTTGTTTAACTTGTTGTTTTTATTTATTAAAATTCTTAGGAAAATATTTTGATTTTTATAATTTAAAAAAATAAAAGTGGTAACGACATAAAATTAATAGGAATACAATGTAAAAACATTATTTTATTATATTTTTAAGTGTATTCAAGATTAATTTTAAAAACTTTAATAGATTATGTAATAAGGATCCAATGTCTTACATTAAAAAAAATCACCCAGTATATAGTATATATACATGGGCCACTACCTATATGAATATGCCTGTATGTGCTGTAGAAGACAAAACGCGGTACGTGCATCATTATTTACGTGATCCGGATCTTTCGTTTAGGTTTTTGATTTAATATTTAATTACATTTTTTTTTCATGTTCTTTGAATGCCGATAATACTATGTGTGTATTAGAATAATAACCTTTCATTGAGACGGCGGTAGACCACAATGCGCTATCAAATTTCATTTTGTCTGTGCATTTGTGTAGTCATGTAGAATATAATAATATCATCATATACTTATAATAATATCCTCAACGTATTTTAATTTTGAAATGAAAATATCAATTATAACATCTTGTAAATATAATATTATGATATGTAATACGTTAAACGCGGGCTTCTAGTTAACAAAACTTAATAATCAAATACGTTATTACAGAGATATTTATACGTAAAACGTATTTAACGATATTGTTATAATTAATACGAATAAAACGAAGAAGGAAAATACCTAGTATATTAAACAATTGAAAAAAGATTGAACACTAGCTGTAAACACAACTTATGCACACGATCGAAATGCGTTCTAATGTGTCAACCGCAGAGAAAATTAAAATAATAAATACTGCTCAGATTTTAGTTTTTTTTTTTTTAACAAGATTAAGTAATGGTGTCCCTAATAGTAAGTGATAATATAATAATATCATTATTTTAATTTGGTGTCATGCGCTATCGTTGCAGACGACTCACCTTGATGTACTCGGACAGACAGGCAGTCCTGCTGGACTCCCTCATGTATGCGTTAAAAGTGTGCCTGGGCGTCCAGTCGTCCATGCTAGTGGTCGGTATGATCATTACGTTTTCGACGCGACGACGTTGGAACTGAGCGTGCAGCGCCAGCATGCCGCTGTAGCTCTGGTCGACGAACACGACCACCCGGCGCGCAGAACAGTGCGATATGTCGTGCAGGAACTCCTTGGACGTGTAAATCTCGTCACTTTCTACCTGTGGAATCAAAAATATGATATCATAACAGATGCAAAAWAMYTATATGCATGATAAACGCACAATATTCTATTAGGTATACTAGYTGTCGTAATAGTTATTTCGATTGATTTGTTTGATCAACAAGTATCATACCCCCCACCMCCGTTTTCCCCATAWATCATTATTCCATTTAAATTCAGAAATTTTAAGTATTCTTAAAAAACCTATTGTTGTAAGAATTAGGTGCGATAAAGCCATTAAGTTACACAAATAGGCATATAGGCGTATAGGGTTATACAAATTATTGTTATTCTCAAATCAATAGAATATTAGAATATATATTATTGTAATTTATAGTTCATCAAGTAATATATTTTTTCTACACTCTGTATGATATATGCGAACAACAAAATTAAATTTAACTGTAGGTTAACTGCAATAATTATAATTTTATTTATAAGTATATATTAGTTGGTATATCCTTTAATAATACTGTTATCTACATCATAAATATAGGTAGGTTTGAATTTAAATCTAAATTCTTGATTTATATTTATAATATATGTATATATATATATAGCTAGTTAGTTAAAACAGTTTTTAATTAATATTAAAATTTTTTTAAGTGTAATTTAATTGAATATTTCTATAATAAAATATGCTTATAGATACAGAAATATAATTATTAAAAATATCGTTTTGAATGGTTTATGCAGGAAACCCGCGTTAAAAGCAAAATTATAATATTATCAATGTTATTTGCTAGTGTAATTCTTATATTTGATTGATTTTAGTTTAATTTTAGTTTCTGAGCGGTTCAACGAGAGGAATGTGTTTGCCGTTTGGTTTACGATGCGAAATGTTTTTTCGTATTATCATTTATCACGCAATGCAAAAAAAAAAAAAAGTCAGCGGGAAAACTAAACCTCTACKGTTATGGAACTCCAGTTTTTCATAAAATAAATATTATCGTTTTATTAGGATTCAGAAATGAATTATAAATTTAGAAYTATAGATACGCATAATATCTCAAATATTGRATGTAATGGCAGCATACACTTATCAAAACTTACATATTTTGACAAAATATAGTTCGACCTGGAACCTGCTGGTTTTAGAAAATATAAACTTAGTGTAAAATCAATACATTTATCGCTCCATTAAGAATCCAAAATTTCATACTGGTTTTCTCCAAATGGTATATTTTGAACTAATAACGGCTGCAGATAAATCCATATTCAACGAATATTATAGACTTATAGAGGAACGATACCACCTTATGTAAAAATGCGTAAGAGGTGCAAATATTAATTTTAGTTCTATAGGTAAATAATATGATTGTTTAGTTAATTTTTAGTTATTGTATATTGGAAGGTAAGTGTTAAATACTTAAATAATTTCGATTTCTATTTGCATTTTATTGTAGAAACTATAAGTCATACGACTCGTAAATTCGTTTGTTAGGGTTATATGATTGAATGTAGTCAGTATCCGCCAAATGTAAACCTTCCCTTTTTCACGGTATATCTGACAACTTTTAAAATCATAATTATTGTTATTGTTT